GGACGTTGGAGGTGGAACATCTTCTTCGCCCATGGCGCCACTTCCTCAAGCTGCCCCCTACAAGATCTTCCTCCGGTTGGTCCTGGTGATGTGGTTGCATCTTTGCAAGCAGCAACTACGGCGGAATTACCTGTACGGCAAGAGTGGTCTTCCACTTTGCCCTCGCGTACCGCAAGCGATCCTGTGACGGTGAGGAGCCCTCTTGAAACTTTCTGGAGAAGTGCATGGATGGTGCTGAGCACCCTCTGGTGAAGATCCAGAGGATGGCGGCCGCAGACAAGAAGGCACCCCTAGAATCTGAGGTGGGATGGTATGCCAAGCCAGCTTGAGCGGGGACTGCATCAGAGGATGAGCAGGCAGAGTTCACCAAAGCTGCTGGAAGGCTTGGGTGGACAACGATGCGGTGGAGATCCTGAGTGAGGCGGAGTCCGAAGCTGTTTGGAAGCAGTTGAAGAGCAAGGGCGAGGAGTGCAAAGTCTTGGCCCCCCGGTATCTCTCTTCACAGACAAGCATGCCCCTTTGAGGATGTCAGAAAAGCCGCTGCCGCCCAAGGCGACTGCCCCTTTGGTGGTTCCCGGCGCGCTCTCCTTCGGCATGAGAAAGGACCCCGGGTGCTGAGCCTGTCTGGAGAAACGCTGAGAGTTGCTATGCCGAGGAGGTGAAGAAGGAGTCCTACAACTCATAGACTCTACGAAGAAGTTCCTTAGCTCGAGATCAATTTTCAGAGGCCTGGGAGCCCTTCAGACAGCCAGGAATTATGGAGTTTTTCCTACCATGCAGGTCGGGTTTTTATGCGAGGAGAGATGCTGTTGGATCATTGGAATTGGCCCAACACAAGAAACGGTGGGTGATGACTTCGACCACCAACAACTTGGACTCTGAGCGGGTGGCCGAAGCCCTGACCAAGCAGCATGCCGTCATCAGTGCCATCTTTTTGTCGGAGTCCCCGGATGCGCTGCCAGGTCGCTTCCGCAGCCACATGTCGGACTTCGAGTCTCTCCGCGTGTGGAGACGCGTCGCATGGAGAAGTCCGCTGACAAGGCTTTAGAAGCACGAATCAGGTGCCAGCTGCAGCTCGCGGTTCGAGCGGCCCTCTCATGGCGGCGGCCTCTGCTCGCGCAAGCGCACGCGCGTCCGCAACGAGCCAGCCGGCGAACCGCTTGGGCTGCCTCCGCTGCGCGCAAGCCACTTCAGCGCTGGCAAGGAATTTTAACAGGAGAGCGCCTGGCTGGGCCTCCGCCAGATGAAGAAGTGTGCTCGCGAAACACGTAAAAAGGAAGCTGGTAAGGTTCTTTGCGTGCGCGCCCGGGCCGTGCGTGGTGAAAGACAGGCGTTGGCTGCCGGCGAACAAGGTTTGAGTGATAAATGGAACCCGCAAACGGAATGTGCTCATAGCCTTTTAACATGATGGATGCATCTATCCAGGAAAGTTGTTTCACATGATCTTGAAGCATCAGACCACAGAACTGCGCGCCGGCTTTGTTGCGCCAGCTTTCCAAATCGCCTTTGGACAGCTTGTTGCGGCGTAGGCTACTGCTTGTTGAAAGCCATGGGTAAGTCCTTCATCTCCCCCTTCTCGCTCGACCAGCTCAGGAACATGTTGAACAATTGATCCCAGTGGAGCGCAGCCACCATCATGGACCGGCTTGGCTGCTGGCTAAATCTGATGGTATCGACAGGCGTAGAGCAAATCATTCGCGCAAACAGGATCTTGCTGTCGCCGTCCAGGGCGTAGCCAAGAATGCGTCTGCAATCCTACACTAGCCCACGCCTCTATGCACGCACACCTGACGTGGTGATCGCTCCCCGCAGCCCCTTTCAACACTTCAGTCCAGCGGCTGTTGTTCCACAGCGTGGCAACAAGATGCTTCCTTCTAAAGTCTTTTCATGTCGAGCACCTCCGGCCTGTAGTCGTAGCAATAATGGTCGATCCAGAGGTTGTGCGTGGAGGCACGAGTTCGTGATGTTGGGTGACTTCACCTTCAACTTATTGCTGTTTGCGCACCACGCATGTGGGCCACTCAGCCTTTCTCAATTCCAAAGCATCTTTCGTGAGCGCCTAGGTACATGTGTTGAAGTCAAATGCTTTTCAGTTGCTTTCTTCTTCGCTGACTTGGGTGCTCCACAGATATGCTCAAAGTTGACATGGTGATGCCGGCGCCCTTCTTCCATCGATCGGCGTTCTCGGCCTTCACGAGGAAAACTGTCTTTCCCGCGCGTTTTCCAGAATCTCTGGCTCCTTGGTTTTAGTCTGTCGTTGCAACCCCGGCAGAAGCCCGGCGTGCGTTGTGCCCCATTCGTGGATGCGCTCTCCTGCGTTCACGGCGGGGGCATGGCCAACAAGAGCTTGGGAGCCACCAGCTTTCAACATCCAACCCAAGGCAGCCAACAGTGGCTCAAACCAGACCAGACACACCAGTAGAGACAAGGTCACTCCAAAACAAGGCCAACAAGAGCTTGCGAGCCACACCCCAAGGCAACAGTGGCTCAAACCAGCCCAGACACACCTGCGGAGACATTGTGACACCAAAACAAGGCCAAACAAAACTTGGAAGCTTATGTGGTGAAAAAGAAGTAGGTTTTTACTATTAGGGGGGTGCTCACCACTTTTGGCAAAAACAAAACCTTTGCTAGAACAATTCTGTATTTTTGCTTGGTCTTGCGCAACACCCAAGCCAGCAACAGACCAAGCATAAAGTTGGGCAAGGTTATGTTTTTGCCAAAAGTGGTGAGCACCCCCCTAATAATAATCCCACTTCTGTTTCACAACATAAGCTTCCTAGTCTTGTTTGGCCTTGTTTTGGTGTCGCAATGTCTCTACTGGTGTGTCTGAGCTGCCTTGGGGTGGATGTTGAAAGCTGGTGGCTCCCAAGCTCTTGTTGGCCTTGTTTGTGTCACCTTGTCTCTACTGGTGTGTCTGGGCTGGTTTGAGCCACTGTTGGCTGCCTTGGGTTGGATGTTGAAATCCAGCTCTTGAAGCTGCTTGCCTGTTGTGTCTGAATGTCTTCTAGTGTGCCTGGGCTGTTCCACCAAGGTGCATTCTGGGACCCAGCTCCCAAGGTTCTCCCCCAAAATGTGCGCACCCAATATTAATAGACCTGACTGCAAAATGGCCCTGAATAACATTTTTTTATGCCTTGACATTACAACTGCTTAGGCTAGTTGGTTGAGACGATGCCTTTGCAGCAGGAAAACTTTAGGCTCGATTCCTGGCAGGATCGATATTTGCATAATTTCAGCCATGGGTGCTTCTGAAGCACAAAATCCAAAGCTTTATGAGTGGAGACTTCAATCTTGGCAACTGCACACCTTTATAAAGGCAGTGCTTCCAACTTGATGGATCAGCCTCAGTGCTTGCTTGACCCAACCCACCAAAGCACTGGACCCCCTGAATTCCACCAGTGCACCCCCAAAAAGGGTGGGCAAAGGTGGTTGGTTATCCCTTTTGCTCTGCCTTTTTCTTTGCGGCTTTCTCAGGTTATCAGCCGCAGCTCGGCCTGCGCTTGCAGGTTCCTTTTTTTGAGACCAGCGCTGCTCCTTGCTCATGGCGGGCTGGCCGGGGTGTTCTGGCCTCACGAGGGGTGGGCCGCTGTTGGCATTGCAAAGCTACGCACGAAAGTTGGCCTGCCAGCAGTGGTTTCCGCCTTAGATGTTAATGCCCTCTGTGGGGGGGGTGGAGGCTCACACGTAGGTCCCGCGCAGGGGGGCTTAAAACCCAGAGGGTGTAGTTTTTTGTCTTAATGCGGCGGTCGGGGGTTTGCTTCGGTGCGTTTTTCAATGCCCTGCGTGGGGGGGCGGAAGCCCACACCAATCCTCGCAAAGGAGCCGGTGTGCTAAGCCCTGTAACAGGGGGGAGTCCTGCTGCCAGGTAGGCGCCGAAGAGGGGGGCGTGTTTGTGCCCCCAGTTCAACCCCAGCAGAAGCCCTTAAGGCGCCCCATTCGTGGATGCGCTCTCCTGCGTTCACGGTGGGGGCATGGGTGGGCAAAGGTGGTTGGTTATCCCTTTTGCTCTACCTGTTTCGCTGGTTTTCTCATAGTTTTAGTACACCTTGTCAAAAGCATTGTCTTCCTCAGCGCTCCGTCCAAACTCTGCTTCCTCCATCATGTCTACCCGCGCTTCACCAGAAGTGCGTCTCTTCAACAACTCCTGAAAATTGTGTTGTGAGGTCAGGGGCTTCCTTCCAGGCTCCCCTGCATCATGACCGTGCGTCGCAGCCCGTGAAGTCACACCTTGCAGACAGACAAACTGTGCTTAATCTCTTGGCGTTCTCATCCTCCAAGCGAACACCATCCTCGTCGCAGGCCTTCTGGTCCTTCTCGGTCACCTTCCAGGCTGCTCTTGTTGAGCCCAGGCTGAACTTGCGCCAGTGCTGACACTCCGATGTGGCGGGGGTGCAAAGGACGCCGGGTTGGTCATTTCTTCGGTCACCGCTGCAGCAGTGTCTGCGCGGATGGATCGCCGCCGCTGCAGCAGTGTCGTCCTCATGTAGGAGGTCTGTGTTCGGCGTGGTTGCTGGCAGCCAGAAGTTTGCCCGCTTCAGGAGGTCTTATGTCCTGTGTGTGATGCGTGCGGCAGGTTTCTGTAGGCGGCAATGGGAAGCAAAAACATCTTCGATTTGATGGCTCTTCTTGCGCTGATCAAGACCTCGATGACATGTCCAGCCGTATGCGTGTGGCTTGCGTGTCCCTGTGGTTATTGAATGCTTTTTCAGTGCTTTGGGTGTCTTTGCGTTGGCGGATGGCTGCTATCTGGTATCTCTTGTTGGGGGCTGCAAGCCCTACAGCGTTTACCAAAGAAAATGTGGCGAAATACAGAAAGACCCCCTTTGACTTTGCCACCAGCGGCTGTGCTTGCAAAGGGTGCTTGCAGACTCGGGTGCTGAATGTGCTGAATGGGGGAATGTTGCAAAAAACCTTGTTCCTTGCTCGGCTGGGAGCCCAGCAGGGGCATGAGAGTGGCTAGCATGTCATTGCTTTGACCTTCCTGGCCCCGGTGCCAGGTTTTTGCAGCCTCAACGATTTTTAGCTCTGCAGCTGGATTGTTGGTCTTCACCCTCCAGGGCCGCGTCAGCGCGACGTGCTTTGGCTCGGGAGCGGTGCTGGGGTGGTGCCGGGTGCATTGTTTTTGTACCCAGCTCAGGACTACTCAAATTGCAAGCCTATGCTACAAGCTGGCCACAACAGTGTTATCCTTGGTGGTCTTCCCAAAGGCTGGCTTGACAGCTTGACATGTCAGACTGTTAGGCGATGCCATTCCTCAGTCGCCCAGGCCCGAAAAGACTTGGGCTGGATGGCCGTCGTAGGTTATGGGCTGTCCACGGTGAGTGTGGCCTTATATGCGCAGCTCTGCTGCACACGTGGTTTGATGATGGCGGCTTCAGGCGTTCGTGCACCCAATGCAATATGAGGTTTCTTCCATCTCCAAACTCCACGAAGCGGGTGGCTGACAAAGATCCAGATTCCAAGACATGATGCTTCCAAAGACGAGGCTGAAGAGCGCAACGTGTGCAGGACAAAGACATGGTTGGCAAGCAGCCCAAGGTGACATGCCCTTGTGATAAGCCTGCGCATCCCGCAGTTCTCAGCGCAAACTCAGTCGTTAGTTCTCCCAGCTCTTAACTCAACTGGAGCAATGGCCCGTGCTGGTGTTTGCGTCCTCCTCGCCGCTGTCGCGGGTTTTGCCTTCTGGCTCTTGCCCGGCGTTTCCTTCGTGCAGGCACCCCAGCGACAGATCGAGCCTGCGGTGGTGGCTGGTGCGGCGGTTGTGGCAAGCGTGCCGCTGGGGGCAGATGCGTTTGTCTACAAGGGTCACGTGCCAAAGAGGGAGTGGGCTTGATGGAATCGGGGCGCTGAGAAGTCATTCCTTTCTTTAATTTTTGTCCAATTCCCGACCGCCAATACAACCGTGTTATTTTTAGTTGTTTGCGGGCAAGCAATGCCATGGGCGTTGGCAGGGTTATTCCCAATATTCCCTGATTGGACGAGAATGCAAGGTCAGATGCTTGAAAGAACTCCGAAGTGATAAACTGATTCAATGAGGCAAGGAGTACTTCGATGTGTTCTATGGCATTGAGCCTCTGGCATGGGCCACCTGCGGTTTCGCCATTGTCTACTACGGAGCCTTGCTGAAGAACGCAGCGCAGAAGCGCCGCGGCTGAATTTGACTTAAGGGCTCAGCTTGGGGTTTGCCTCTCCTTGTCCGACCACTTTGCACATTTGCTCTGATCTCGACCCTGTCGGGTCGCTCGTGTGCAGTGCATGGATGCCACCCCAGCCAAAAAGACTTGCCGAGGTACAACAAGCCCGCATCCTTGAGCCCGCCACCCAAGATCGGTGGCTTTCGCGGCAAGGCCGGGCAAGCTGCATGATGCCAACATTTTAGTCGCATGGAAGTTCCACGCAAGCGTCATTGCAATGCGCAGGAGGTGGAGAACAGCGAGCCCAACTACAAGGCTTGAGCTCAGACAAGAGTCGCTTGCAAGATTGTTGGGGCCAGGGGGCAGCAATGCTTGTGCCCATGTTGGGCTCACGCTAGCATCGCCCGTCTTGGAGTCTCAGCGTCTTTTTGGACAGTTTCCCACTAGTCACAGCAGACAGAAGAAGAATCTGAGCTTGTGGGCAAAAGGTTGCAGAGCGGTGGGCTTGTGCCGCTCGGGAGCTCTGAAGGTGACTAGGTCGCAGGATTAGGCATGCCCTGCGTGACTGTACAGGCCAGGGTTGATTGCAGCCGTTTCAAGCTCAGCCCGATTGAACATTGCAGTCATGGCTGAAGCGCTTTGGGCAAGCGAAGTGTAACGCGGGAAGTGCTGGTCATGCTCGCGTGCAAGCTTGCTTGGTCTCAACCAGTCTGACCCGCAGCTGTGGCTGGGCCACTCAGCAGGTGCACAGGAGAATATGCTGGGCGTCCCACTGTGCGATACCCTCCTGAACGAGTTGCCTGAAGCAGTGGCTTCAATTACGCAGCCTGTATGCATCACACCCCTCGATGCAGCTGGTTGCATGTCGACATGCCCATGCTTGCGCAAGCACAAGGCCAACACTCTGAGCTCTCACCTGCGCCTAAAACAGATGCACCTCAGATGATCTGCGGCAAGCAAGGGGGCCGGACTTTCAGCAAGTGGCAAGAGGCGATTGCGGCATCCTTCTCTGGTGGAGCGCTGCCAAAGGCAACAAAAGAGGCTTTACTTGCTTATAGCAAGGCGCATGCGTGGAGACAGGCCTTGCAACTCCTGCCGCGGCATTCAAGCGAGCTGCAACATCGCCGGCCGGTGGTAATCATGAATGGCATCGCCAACGCCTGTGAGAAGAATTCTGCTTGGCTGCATGTGGTTTGCATGCTGGAGACTGTGCAGCAGCTTAGCGCAAACGATTCCAGTTCTTGACGAATCGCAGCAGATGCATTTTCTGGATTCTTCCATTGTACGAACAGTTCCAATCCCTTTTCCGTGACCCCCCTATGTCGCATTGTGGGTTTGTCCTGGAATGTAAAAACACACACACACACAAAGAAAAATGAGTTGTAATGGTGGGATGCTCTGGATTGGTCTGTCAGCTGGCGGGAGCGGCACCCATTACGTTTGCCATGCGCTCATTACTTATTTTACCAGAACATTTCAGGGGATTGTCCTTGGACCCTCATGAGAACCCAAGAGAATTACCGGACCACAGACTTCTCTCTCTCTCTCTCTCTCGAATGCATAGCGTTTGGGCGCGTTGCGACAAACCAAACACATGCAACATGCAACCAAATTTATCCAAGTGCGGCTGAACCTCAGCGTCGCAATCCATGGGCACGGCATGAGTCTCAGCCAGGGGATCTAGCAACAGAGTCCTCTTGTCGCCTGCTCAACACCTCCTTGGCATGCGCAAAAAGGGCAGACCCAAACAACGCGCTCAGACCAGGGGGGTGGGAGCTCGCAACCGCAGTGACAAAGGATCCTGCAGACTCAAGGCCAACCAGCTTCCTATGCGCACCATGTCCATGACAACGCCTACCCGAATCGCCAGCCATCAAGATAGTGTCCACCATACCTGGCAGTCTACCAACCAGCAAAGTGGTTGGTTTGCGCAACTCGCTGCCCCACAAACACTGGTCGGTTGAAACAACATCGCCAACAACCACCAAGCCATCGTCAGAGCGAACTTGAGCGACTCATGTTCAACATCAACCTGGCGCCATTGACGTCTTGACAGGCCCTTGAGCCCCCACACAGCCTTGAAAGACCGAAACGGGGAAAACCAACAGAGTCAGGGATGTGCCTGGCCGCACTCCAAGTTTTGCTGGGAGGACTAAAGAGTGCCCCCCAAATTACGCCCTGTCTTGCCCACCCCCCAATTTGCGCACTTGCTTGGCGCACACGAGGTCCGACAAGTCCACAGTGAGTAAAAAGATCTCAACTCCTTCAGACAAGACGTGATCAGAAATGGTCACCACCCCCCGTCAAAAGCACAAACTTTGGTAAGTCGTCTTCGCCTTGGGCGTTCGGGACGGTTGGAGAAGGGCAAACTTGAAAGTGGCAACCCTGATGAGGAGCCAGGCCCAACTTCATGGCTTCCGGCTCATGGGAACAGCTGGAACCAAGGCCTTGGTGGCGCTCCAACCATTCTCTCGCTTAAGAGTCTGCTCTTTACTAAGTGGAGGCACAAGGTCATGGAGCTTAGACAAACAAGCCTCTTTGCTCTGCAAGTGCTTGATGACCCTCGCTCGCTCATGGAAATCCAGCATGCAAGCACAGCACTTGCCATCCTGCGCATAGTACCTTGCCTCCGTCCTATACTGGTGAGCATGCCGGGAATGAACAGCCAGCCCCCTCTTTGACCCGCAAAGTGAAGTTGCACTGCAAGCATTCAAACAACTTGCTTGGCTGCGGCGGTTTCTTTGTCAAAGGATTACCCAAATCTCCTGATTTCACTGGACCAGACCCAGTTCGAACATGTTTTTTGCATGCCTTGGACTGATGCGCGGCAGGCAGCAGGCACTGGAGGCCACCGTCGTGAGCTTCTCCTGCGTCACAGCGGCCCGCGCGCGCTGCGCATCGAAGCGCTGGCGTGGGGCACTGGCAGTGGCGGCGCATTGCGCGCTGCAGGGGGTGGAAGCCAACGTGGGGGCGCCTGAAATCCGGGCTTGGGCACGGGGCATTGGGGTGACCAACGCAGTTGGTTTGGTAAAAGCCGACCGTTTGACTTTTTCTTGGTTCTCAAAATGTTGTCCGATTTTTGGCGAGGTTCCAAAAGTTTGGGATTTTCTTTCCAAGTCCCATGTGCGACTTCAGAGTGCCTCTTGTTGACGCGCGTCATAGTCAGTTGCGGATTAGCCTGGGGCAGTCCCAACTGCAAGTGGCGCTCTTGATTCTTCACATATTGGGCTTTAAAAGGAATTGCTGGATGCGTTGCGTTCATGCAGGGTAGGTGTTGCACAAAGTGGCGCTGCGCTCAGCGGGTTTGATTGTGACTCAGTTGAAATGAGGTTGTGCTGCACAACGTTATCACAAGTATTTGCGAGAAGGTGCAGCAATGGCGGACCGCATTGGACGAGCCTCTTGACGGGCATTCAGCGGTGTCCCAGGCTTTGCTTCAGACGTTGGATGCATCTTTCCAGAGCCTGAGGCTCGAGCATTTGCCTGCTATGCCCATTCGGCCTGATCTCATTACACATAACGCTGCGATCAGCGCGTGCGAGAAGTCTGGCCAGTGGACTGCTGCACTGGCGCTTCTCAGCGGGCTTAGCCACCTGTCCCTTCAGCTGTGCACGCACCTGCTACTAAATGCGAGGCCTCAAAGTTGAACCGTGAGAGCTGAGGCTTAAAGATGCTGAAAGCCGAAGATGTAGCCTACAACGCAGCAATCAGTGCTTGTGGTAGAGTTGGCCAGTGGCAGAGGGCTTTGGAATTGCTTGCTGGCATGCTGCTCGGTGCCAACATGTGATCATCAGCTCAGGGCGCGGCATGTGGCTGCGTGGCCCGGCAAGACTTTGAACCTTGCGCTAAGGCCAAGGAAGCATGTGCGCCAGAGCGTGGTGTCGTTCAATGCCGCCATTACAGCATGCTCTTCAAGCTCATGCTGGCAGCAGGGGCTGGACTTGCTGAGGGCATTGCCCATGAATCTCAGGCACAATGTAGGCCTGGCGTTGATTTGTTTGAAAGCCTGCTTCCCTTCTTTCCTTCCATCTAAGGATGGAGTTACAGGCAAATGTGGTGACCATCACTGCAGTGATCACCACTTGTGCTGGAGCTGGAGCCTGGGAAGCTGCTGTTCAAGCTTTATGCGATTCCGCGCGGGTAGAGCCATCGCTGACGCCCGACAGCAGTCTTTCGGCGAAGCACATCATTGTCATGTTTGTTTTTCTTAGGACTGGTTGTACAACGCGTCGCAACTCGTCATGCTTGGCTTGTTGGGCTCGCCTTTCAGGATGACATACAACGCGCTTCTATTTGCACTCGCACATGGAGAAAAGTGGCAAAAAGGCCTGGAGCTGTGACCAGGCAGCGTTTGTGACAAGCTTGAGCCATTGGATTAACAAATATCATGTGGTGGCAAGGTTGGACCATTTGAGAGCCGTCAGCATAGAGCCAGACGCGATATCCTGCAACACCGTGATCACTGCCTGCTCTCGGGCAAGTCAGTGGCAGCAAGCGCTGGTTCGACTGCAGCATATCTCTCTTCTGGGCATCCAGCGCAGTAGCGTCAGCTTCAAGGCCGCAGCAGGCAGCCAGTGGCATTCCTCATGGGCGTTGCTGGAGGCCAAATGGCAGTGTCATGGCAAGGGTTCCGACGATTGGCGGGCCGATGCTGCGGCAAGCGGGCGCTGGCAGCTGGCACTCACACGTCGGGGGGCCGTTGGGGCGCTGGTCGTGCAGAGCTGCGATTGGCGGCAGGCCTTGGCCTTGGGCGAGGGCCTGCAGGGCTTGGCAGTGGCCGTGGGTGCGCTTGGGGCGCGGTGGTGGGCGGCGGTGGCCCTCATCAAACGTAGGAAGCTTGACGTTGTCACGGTGGGTGCCCTGATCAGCACCATGGAGAAGGGATGGCAGTGGCGGCAGGGCATGCATATGCTTGGCAGTTTGGGGGCCAGAGCCATGCAGCCCAGCCTTTTGGTGTGTAGTGCTGCTGCCAGTGCTTGTGAAAAGTGCGTGCAGTGGATGCGGACATTGGCCCTGCTTAAGCTGACAGCCTGTTGTTCTGAAAGTGATGAGGAAGGCGACCTGGCCTACGTCCACAATGCGGCTCTGAGCTCCTGCGAGAAAGCCTTCCTATGGCCTCAGGCTGTGCAGTTGTTGGCCTTTCTCTCAATCCAAGGGCGTGCAGACGTCATTACGCATAGTGCAGCCATCAGTGCTTGTGAGAAGTCCGGCCAGTGGAAGCGTGCCACAGCTCTCTTGACCGACGTCCAGCAACGGCAGGCCAGAGTTGATCAAGGGGATTTTGGGCTTGTTTGGTTCGAGGCGTTGGAGGGAAACTTGTAAGAGAGCTCGTGCCAACGCATGCCCCTTTGCAAGATCCAACCCAACGTGATCACGTTCAATGCAGCGATCAGTGCATGTGACAAAGGGGAGGGGCTGCGGGCGATAGCCAAACAGAAAAAGAAGATGACAATTTATCCATGTGCATCGACGTAGCATGGTGACGCAGACGATGGCAGCGGTGTGCCCAAGCGCGCCCAAGCGCAGTGCCTTGACCCCTTAGCGGTGCCATGGCGCTGTCAGAGGGCTTGCTGGGCAAAGCTGCGCCAGGCCTGACCAAAAGTTGCCATACTCAATGCATGCGAATGCAAAGGCAGGAAAAGGCACAGGCAAGGCGGTTAGCGCATGTTGAGGTAATGAGGGCCAGGCCGAGGCTGACCCGGCGCATGCGTCAGGCGCATTAGGCTCTTCACACCAGACTCGTCGATGGGCGCTGGGTGGGGTTTTGCTGCTGGTCGGCGCAATTTTATCCCTGGCCTCGCGACCGGATGCTGCGATGCGGCAAACGCTAGGGCCATCCCAGGAGTGGCGCTTTGGTTGGCGGCAAAACGTGGGCCGGCCTCAAAAAGGAGGGAGTCTAGTTGATGTTGGTGCATGGTGGGTTGCTTGGAGTGAGCCTTTTGTGAGGCAGAGGAGCCGGTGGTTTTTGTGGATGGGCAGAGATACACTGCCGTGCAGTACTTGGGTTTCAATTTGTTCACAGCTCCTGGCACCGAAGCGGACGGCTGCTTCAACAAGGGCGAGGATCTCGATGCATGCTATCTGGGTAGCGACAAAGTGGCCAGGGATGTCAGGCAGGTTTTTCAGAAGCCCCAAAGATGTGAGGGTGCTAGTGGGAGTAGTGGGAGCAGTGGTAGCAGTGGGAGTCTGGAGGCACCGTCTCGCCATCATGGCCGAAGCTCTGGAACGTGCGCACGCCTCCGAGAATTGGGATCGAAGTCCTGGGACCCTGAAAGTCTTCCTGGCGCCCGAGTTCTATTGGCGTGGGGCAAAAGGCGCATTACATGCCGCACGTGCCCATGCCATTCATTTGGATCGACCATTTTTGTCGTTCAGGTGCCTACCGCATTTCAACAAAATTCATCAATGTCTCGTGGCCTGTGATCAAGGAGACCTGAACTCAGTTGGCTTGAAGCGAGCTGTTGAGTGTGCCTGCGCTGGATGTGTGTTTACTAGCAAAGGATAGCCGGGCAGCTGAGCCACGTCCGCTTCAAGCACTGGGTCTTTGTGCCAGGGACCGTTGTCGCAGCACAACTTGCTGATCAGCGCTACGTGAACATGTCCGGTCGAACATATGAGAACATTAGCTATTACAATTTTGCTCCCATCCACATCGGCGGCACGGACCGGAAGTTCTTAAAGTTCAAGCATTTCATCAGTAGACACTCGGAAGAATCAGCATGTGTTGGCTTGGTTTCGAAGGTTGTTGGC